AAATAAATTTCCCAACTGACCGCACCCAAGTGACAAAGAGAGGGATACTAGCGAAGATAGCAAGAGTGTATGACCCGTTAGGGCTCGCAGCGCCTATGACATTGAGTGGAAAACTACTATACCGAGACGCATGTGATTTGAAAGTCGGATGGGATGCTCAACTTCCTGGTCAACTGGGAACCAAGTGGTCAAGATGGGAAGCACAGCTACCAGTGAGCATTTCCGTACCCAGAGCCATACCTCAACACTTTGAAGAGATCAGCAACATTGAGCTACATTGTTTCGGCGACGCAAGCGGACAAGGCGTTTCTGCGGCAGTGTACGGTGTCATATCTCAACCATCCGGTGATAGTGTTGGGCTGATAGCAGCCAAAGCTAGACTGGCGAAGCAAGGCCTCACCATCCCCCGCCTCGAGTTGGTCTCAGGTCACATGGCGACCAATCTCATTGTCAACGTTAAGGAAGCATTAGAGGGTTTCCCAGTTGGAAATATGTTCTGCTGGTTGGACAGCAGCGTTGCGTTACATTGGATCAAGGGAGCAGGGAGTTACAAGCAGTTCGTAAGCAATCGAGTGCAGAAAATCCAGCAACACCCAGAAGTAAACTGGCGTCATGTGGGTACAAAAGACAACCCAGCTGACCTTGGCAGTCGGAGCGGAAGCGTGGAAAACGAAAAGCTATGGTGGAGAGGGCCTGAGTGGCTGGCTACTATACCGAGAGCGATGGCTAGCCGATATCAAGACAACGGCCACACCAGACAGTCAGGCGGAAGCAAAAGTGATACGGGAAGTATTCGCTGTAGCACAAGCTAAGACAGACATCCTAGACGCCTTGCTGGTCAAGTTCAACTTATGGAAAACCCTAAGGGTTTGTGCTCGGGTGACACGTTTCATGCATAACCTACGGAGCGAAAAGACGAGAAGATCTAAGGGACCACTCACGACAGAGGAGATCGAGATGCAGCGACACCTGTGGCTAAAGCGAGCACAGGTGAATTTGAAGAGAGACGAGCGGTTCGAAGATTATTGTGTACAGCTGAACCTACAACAAAACGCAGACGGGTTACTGGAATGCCGAGGGCGGATTCAGGGAGACTATCCCATATACTTGCCTGAGTCTCATCCGTTCGCGGAGAAGATGGCTGTAGAAGCGCATATCAGGACATTCCACGGGGGAGTGAGCCTCACAATGGCAAGGATTCGTGAAAGGTAATGGGTTCCCAGGTTGCGACGCCTTGCAAAAAGAGTTGTTAAAGCCTGTAACGGCTGCAAGCAGTTCCGCGCCACAGCGTTCGCGGCTCCGCCACCAGGACAGCTACCAAGGGATCGCACCGAAGGAGAAAATGCGTTCCAAGTAGTCGGAGTGGATTTCGCCGGACCACTGAAGTATAGAAAGGGGAGGTATCATGAAGGCAAAGCTTACATAACGCTTTACGCCTGTAGCCTGACTGGAGGTATTTACCTTGAGCTACTACCCAGCCTAGAAACGGGAGAATTCCTTCGATGCCTGAAACGGTTTATGGCCCGACGTGGCCGACCAGAGAAGATTTACTCAGACAACGGGAGTACCTTCGTGGTGGCAGCTAAGTGGCTGAAACAAGTGATGACTGACGAACGCCTCAACGAATTCCTCTCCCGTCAGGAAATCAAGTGGCAATTTAACCTGAGCAGAGCACCCTGGTGGGGAGGGGAGTTCGAGAGAATGGTTGGATTGGTGAAGAGAAGTCTACAGAAGACCATTGGAAACGGGTTCCTAACGTGGACCGAGTTAGAGGAGGTTATACTAGACGTAGAGGTTGCAGTTAACAACCGACCTTTAAGTTACGTGGAGGACGATGTGCAGCTACCGATCCTGACCCCCTACTCCCTGTTGTTTGGTCAACCAAATGCACTACTCGAGTTGGAACCACACCGCATAGAAGACGGTGAATTACGCAAGCGAGCAAAGTATCTCAAACCATGCAAGGAGGCCGTCTGGAAACGATGGACGGGGGAGTACGTAAAGGGGCTGCGCAAACGCCATCGTCTAAAGAATCCTGGAAAACCACACAATCCTAGTGTGGGCGAGGTCGTGCTGATCAAGTCGGACGACAAGAATCGCGGGAAATGGAAGGTCGGGATGGTCACGGAACTAATCAAAGGGTGTGATGGTGTTGTCCGGGGAGCAAAGTTTCGCACAGGGACTTCACATCTAGAGCGAGCAGTACAGCAGCTATATCCGTTAGAACTGTCATGTGATCGACCGGGAGACGGTGACAGACCTCCAACGACCGAGTTGCGCATTGAAGCGCCAGCGTTCAGGCCTTCCCGTGATGCAGCCGTCGCAGCAAGATTACGTATGGAGGATCTTGCTCACGATGAGGAAGGGGATTGAACTTTGAACCAAACCGAAACAGATTGGATGACAACGGCGGATCGGATGCTTGAACATTCTACTTATGAACTGAACATCTGCCACTATGGCTACTGATTGATCAATGATTAGTGTGATTAGGAAATCGATTGAGAATTCTAGATGATAGATTCGTTCATAAAATTTAAGCGATAAGGTTCATTTCTCGACAGACATTTGCTCTCCGAGACAAATGGGGGGAGGGTGTCGGAAAAGTGACGTCAGCCTTGTAACCTCGCAACGCGAAACCAAGGGTGGTCTTTACGATTTTGTGGGTTTGTAAAAGAATAGGCTAAGATCGACGCGATACGAAGCGTGTGACGACTAGAATAAAGATAGAAAAAAAAAAAACTACGCGAGTGACTAGTGTTGCTGTACTGGGATTTCCAACACTGTCCAGTTTGATCTAGCTTCTTATGTGACATGTTGTAGGTAGATGTGTGTTAGCAAGAGTAGATAAATTCAGTTTGTCAAAAAAATATTGAATTTATTTGCTCCATTACGTTGCAGACTACGCTGTTCTCACTTTTGTTGTAGGCCTTTCAGTTCAAGAGGCCATGGAGGCCTATAGGCAAGGTCTCTCAATCTACTTTTTAAAATGGTGGAACGTTGTAGACACTTTGATCACTTTCACATTCCTACTGGCCTACATAGTTTGGTTGAGTGCGTGGGGATACTATGAACAAGAGTGGAAACCAAGAAAGGCTGCGTTTATCGTGGCTGATGGCATATACGCCACGGCCACCGTATTGTCCTATTTCCACTTAGCACATATCTTCCAAGTCAATTCAGTGTTGGGTCCATTGCAACTGTCACTTTACAGAATGCTCAAGGACGTCCTTAAGTTTCTTGCCATTTTTCTTCTGCTCTACATTGCATTCGCTACAGGCGTAGTCAAGATATATTCGTATTATGTGGCTTGTCAACTAGAACTTCAGAAGCAGGACTACAACGAATCTACTAAATACCAAGTGTCTCACCCGTATGGCAGGTACGTACATAAACCTATGGACTCTAAGTGAACCTAACCAGAGTCGTAGGTAAACCACTTATTTACTTTACAGAAGATTACAGGACGTTTAGTGTGGACGCATGAAGAGAGTTGAGGAAACTATTGTTAAAATAAATAGTCAGAGAACTATCCGATAAAACAAACAAACAAAACAACAGTAACAACGTCGAGAAAGTGAGGAAAACAAAGAGCCCACTAATAGCTATAGCGTGAGATCTTTACCTCCATCAGGGACTAGTCATTATTTATTATCTATTTAATTGGCGTTCAGTTTTCTATCAGTCCTCCTTTATGCTTTGTTGACGACAGGTGATCGACCTTCCGTTCCATCTAAAAATCAAGTGCTCCCCTTCGCTAAAAGGCCTACTTCCCCCTAGGCAAGGGATAACGACTGCTTCCTTAGTAAGTTTAATCAGTTTCACTTCAGACTGCATTTCCAAAACTAAAAGACAAGCAACCAGTTGCACTGGACAGACATTGGCAAGATTATCGTTACACTTAGGTACATAACTCGCTATCAAAACGTGTGCATTGGAGCTTCATCTATCTAATTTAAGATTTCTGTTGTTCTCATTATTCTTACATTTAAATGTAGGCACACTGGATCTTTCATTGGAATGTTTTGGTTGTTACTTGGCATGGTGGAAGAGGAAAAAATTGCCGTTGACGATCCAGCGTTTTACCTGACATCTACGTTCGGGCGTATCTTTATTATAGGCCACGTGATTTGCACAGTTATTGTAGCGTTAAACATGCTGATTGCCATGATGAACAACTCTTTCGACGGAATTATGGTAAGTCAACGCCTCTTTGATAACGATCATATCGATATCTAGAGTTGGCCATACATGATCCGATAATCTTGTAGACTGTGATGGTATAGCTGACATATTGGATTTTACTTTATGCACGTTTAAGATATCTCCAGCAGCGCTTTGTGCTTCATTGAAAGTTCTTAATGCTCCTTGTCCTTCAAATTTTTTTATTGATGTTGGGGAAGCTAATGTTAATTGGTTATTGCTGCAGTGTACTTTGTGGTGATGTAGGAATTATTTTGTGAGTGGCACTTCGTGCAGTGATCACTCCCTGGCAACATGAAACTGCTCTTTTAATTCTTTTCTATGATTGCTCACTTTTTTTATGGCACCATTCTCCATGGTTTAATCACTTGCCCTCTGTTGATGTTGATTCTCGGTTAGTTCACGATCTTAAGAGCGGCCGTCCGTAAATATCGCCTGGTGGTTTGTAATATGAAAAAATCGAAAATCCCAAACTTTGCCAGAGTAGCTCTGGATGAACTATTTCTAGAAAAAATACTTTGAGTTCAATTGCATTTTTATTTTTTGCAAACGGCGACAAACTCGGTTTTGTGGCTCTCACCGTCATCTTCACGAGGTTTAGACAATCATTATTTGAACGTCGCTTGAAGATGAAATAAAAAGTAAATGTGACCAAATATATTCCTAATGAAAAGAACACGTATTTGCAAACAGTCTGAAGTGTTCTTTGCTTGATTCCGTTGCAATCTAAAGTTTTGGGGAGTTTTTGTTTTTTTCCCATATTTCGCTCATTTTTGCGGACAAACAAGTGGTAAAATTGAGAGGGTAAAATCGCACTTTGGCACATTGTATGGGGTTATATCAAGTTGATCAAGAGAAAGAACAAGGTTTCTTCTTCAAATAACTCCAATAAAAGTTTTGGGCTACTCTACATACGAAATTTTAGGACCCCAAACAAAAGTGAATAAGAGGTCAAAACACGCCATTACTTGTCACGCAATTGGAGGTGAAAAATCAGAAATGCGCAAGTAGAAAAGACAACAGTACAAACCGCTTTGGGAGCGAAATATCGTTACCAGTCTGAATGAAAAGTTACCTTTGACTAACATTTGTCGTTTCTGCTGCTCAGGTTACCTGAGATTTAAAATTTTAGCGGTTATTTTCGAAACAAAACAAGCCAAAATGCAACATCGTCCAGTTCGAAGCGGCCAAGGACGGATGCAAACCGTAAAATAAGTATGTTTGCCATATTTGCACTTTGATTTGAGAATTGTTTATAAATTTGTACATACCAAGCATCAGCGCCAAATACTGATTGAGCATTCGCTGCGTGAAACTATTTATTGTCTTATAACACTCGGTAAGTGACGAGAATAATCTTCTTTGCTTAAGTGTTGGCCATTTAAGAAGTTTTCGGCGCTCTCCGTAGGTCATATCTTGCCCAATTTTTCTAAGGGCACATTCGGAAGCTCTACGTTGTACCTTCTCCAAGGTGTTTGAGTCTTTTTTAAGGTGCGGTATGTTGTGTATATGTAATGAAAACCTGGGGCTTCTCTGAACTTGTTGGAGGGCTATGTGGTTGAAGTGGTTTTAGCCCGGTAAATGCTTTATGTGAGGCCATGGAAACACATGCAGAAGAAACATCAAGTGTCACATGAAGGTTTATGACTGCTTTGATTCAACTTTGAAAACGGAGGCAGATCTTTTTCTCGCCAGGGCAGGTAACATCTCAATATTTCTCACGATTTCTTATTGATTCTGTAGACGTTATGTAGTGTATAAACAATAAGATAACTAGAGAAGGTACCTTAGGATGGTTATTGAATGCTGTGTACGTATAGTTTTGCTTCGGGGTATTTTTTTTCCGAGTTATTTCCCGCATAATAAAAGTATGAGAAAATTAGGTCGGTAATGACAACGGATAAAGACTAGCTTTAAGTTATTACAAGCATTTTCATGCGCGAGTCCCCCAGAAAGCGTTCAAGCATAATTCAAAGTTACCAAAGAAATAATACTGAATATAAAGGAAGAGTGTCAGTGTTTCTGGTAAAGACGCGTGCTCTTGCAATTGTAGCCCAGGACTTGTGGGTCTGCCTGTCACGCAATCCTAATTGAACATTTCGAGAAAGCGGAGGGCAGTTCACGGCAGCTAATGCACAATCACTATTTGGCGTTGATACATTGTATGTACAAATTTATAAACAATTCTCAAATCAAAGTGTAAGCATGGCAAACGTATTCATTTTACGGTTTGTATCCGTCCTCGGCCGCTTCGAACTGGACGATGTTGCATTTTGGCTTGTTTTGTTTCGAAAATAACCGCTAAAATTTTAAATCTTAGGTAACCTGAGCATCAGAAATGACAAATGTTGATCAAAGTTAACTTTTTATTCAGATTTTTAACGATATTTTGCTCCCAAAGCGACCTGTTGGCTTTTCCTGTTGCGCATTTTTAATTTTTCACCTCCAATTGCGTGACAAGTAATGGCGTGTTTTGACCTCTCAGTCACTTTTGTTTGGGGTCCCAATATTTCATAGTTTGAGTAGCCCAAAAATTTTATTGGAGTTATTTGAAGAAGAAACCTTGTTCTTTCTCTGAATTAACTTGATGTAACCCCATGCCATGTATCAAGGTGCAATTTTACCCTCTCAATTTTGCCATTTTTTTGTCCGCCAAAATGAGTTGAACATTGGAAATAAACAAAAACTCCCCAAAACTTTTAGATTGCAACGGAATCGAGCAAAGAACACTTCAGACTCTTTGTAAATACATGTTCTTTTCATTAGGCATAAATTTGGTCACATCTACTTTTTATTTCATTTTCAAGCGACGTTCAAATAATGGCTGTTTAAACCTCGTGAAGCTGACGGTCAGAGCCACAAAACCGATTTTGCCGCCGTTTGCGAAAAATAAAAATGCAATTCAACTCAGAGTATTATTCTTGAAATTCATCCAGACCTAAATTCTGGCAAAGTTTGGGGATTTTCGATTTTTTCATATTGCACACCACCGGGCGATATTTACGGATAGCCGCTCTCAAACACTCTTAATATCTTTCGTAGGAAAATGCGATCCTAGAGTGGAAGTTTTCAAGAACTCAGATGTGGTTGGAATGGATCGACAAGGGCAATTCCATACCTGTTCCTTTCAACACTGCGTACTATATTCTTTACATCTTCACCCCAAACTTCTGGAAAACTTGCTGCAAAACTCGGTGCAAAAACGTAAGATAATTTATCAACTTACATTAATTATTTCTGTACTAGATTCAGTGCATTTGGAGGAACCCAAGAATCACTCGTGTTGGTCCAATCAAAGAGCTTTCGGAAACCAAAATAATCATCACCCGCAACAACAACAATAAAAACTTGGGGGGGGGGGGAGGAGAGGGGACTCTGTCCTGAGCAAACTCATTAAAATTTTCAAATCACAGAATGACAGGTCCTTATATACATTGAAATGGAATGAACGAACAGAAAAATGAATTTGAAAAGAATGAGTGGATAAATGAGTAAATAATTTTGAAAATGAATAAATGGATGGAAAACAGAGAAGTAAATTATTAAGCGTAGCTCTTCTGCCATTCAACTATCATGCAGATTAGGTGGTCAGCAGACCGATTGTTTTGTCGCAGACGAAGCTCATAATACTATCCGTACCGGAAGCAACTAGATTTATTACTGTATTGGGATCAGTTACATCGTCCAAACTGTAACTATCCTATCGGTTAAATAAAGTTGACAAGTCAGCGAAATGTCTCCTCGTGTTTTTATTGAGAGAAA